AGTCGTGGGAGCTGGATCAGCTCAAGCTGCGTGGTTTGCTATGGGGCTTCTTCGCCGAGCCTCGATTTACGGTCGCTTAAGGAGCACGCGTGCCCCTCCCACTAGGTCTGTGCAGGTTTGGCATGCGCATGCGGATGCAGCAGTTTGAAATGAATGCTCCTACTTGTTTGAGTCCGCTGAAGGCTTTATTTGATCCAGGCCCCCCACGCAGGTTGTAGGCCAAACATCCTCGCCATGTCCCTCCTGATGGAGAATCCGGACCAGCCAGGATTTAAGTTCCTCACTAAGCCCTTGAAGCTGAAGGTGTCAGCCCCTGGTCCGCATTCGATTGGTTGCAGGAAATTGAATTTCGTTTTGCAATTTGCAAGCCTTCAGGGTAAGACTTGCCGAGGCTTTTGCAGAGATGCTGCACGACGATGTGTTGGTGCCGTTTATATCTGCAAGGCTCCCGGATGTCATGACAGACCCCGCTCCATGATTGCAGTAGGATCATGACATGTACACATTGGTGGTATGTGCTTTAAATTCATGTTGGAAAGATCCAAGGCCAGGTGCTTGGTGCCGTGGGCGGAGGGCAAGCATGCCTCGGTGGTGCATGAGGAGGATATCATCCTGAATTACCAGCTCCTCAAAGATTACATGACGTACATGGGAGATCAAGATGTTGCCTCAGGTTCTGACTTCAAGGCCTCCGTAGCATGCATTTGAAAATGTAGGACCATGATCAGCTTGAACCTTGCCCTGGGATTTCTGGAAAGGTTGCCTTTACTCTAGCGGCGGTTTCCTTGAACCTGTTCTCCTCTGAGCTCTACGAACGAAGGGGTGGGATTGGTGAAGTCCGTGACGCTGGAACTGCAAATATTTCATGCACTTGCTTCATGAGTAGTTCTGATTGTGGAGTGTGGTCTGGCTTTGCTTGATTGATCTTTAATTTGAGGATTGGGCCAGTGATGAGGGTGGAAAGCTCAGGGCAGTTGCGGCCTACACTGTCCGCCTGGCTCGTCGGACCTTGGAAGCAAGGCCCATAGCCATGGGGGATTACACTTGCGTTGCAGTGCAGTTACACATGCTCATTTGTCACCCCCATGCATTGTTGAAGAACATTTTCCCAAACGCATGTACGCAGGGACGAGAAGATCTGGGTGTTGAAGCGGATCATTGCAATGGCCCGTGGATGGAAATACAATGAAGCTCATCTGCACTTACAAGTCTAGGGGAACATCTTATTCTGCAGAATCGCTTCCCGAATTGCGAGCCTTTGGGTTTTGGCAGGGTTTAGGTTTTGGGCATGTGTTATCAGCGAAGGCACGGGAAGTTTTCGTTTCTCGGCCAATGCCTGATCCTATGGCGTTGGGGTTGGCTACTTCAGCTGCTGAGTCTGCAATCACTTTTCAATTTGGAGTATTCATGTACTAGCCATGTTTAAAATTAATTTGGTTTCAGGCTGAGAGGACTGAAGCTTTGCCGGATGCACCAACCAGCAGTACACGTTCAGACTCCGCAGAGTTAGGGCAGGTGGGCCTTGATTCAATGCATGCTGCTACAACAGGCTGACTAAACTAGAACTAGTTAGCTGGGTTTAAACTAACTGCTTTCAGGCTGAGCGGACGGAAGCATTGCCAGATGCACCGACCACCAGTACACGTTCAGACTCCGCAGAGTTAGGGCAGGTGGGCTGCTACAACAGGCTGATTAAAGTAGAATTGCTGTTTGGCTGTTTGTTATAAGGCCTCGGGTCCTCTTGTGGGCCACGTTGATGATGATGTAACGATGACGGATATGGGACTTCCGGATGGCTTGGGAATGGATGCGATCTTGGAAGATTTGCTTCCTGATCATCATGATGATGGTAGTGGCATCACTGAGACGGCCGCTTTACTTGTTGATTCTACTTTTTTCAGTGTGTATCCGTGGTACACAGGCAAGCAAATATAGATGCAACCAAGGCAGAGATTCCAGCTGCGGATGGTGCTCAGACCTCAAGCGCTACCGCCATGACAAGCAGCCAAGCGGAGCCCAAGATTGCTGAGGCATCCCGCCGAAAGCTTGCGAAGTTTGCTTCGGAGGAAAACATCAAAGCAGGTTTCCAGGACATTTCTATGAAAAAAAGGTAAAGAATTCTTGAGTTGGACCATGGCTGTTTCTTATATGATTGGGTGGACTTTGTGATGTCACCACAGGACCGTGAACCTTTGATCATGGTGCGGCCTGTCTTGCCGAAGTGGCCCATCGAAACTCATGGCCCCCTTTCCCCGGACCCACAAGACATCGACTATGCAAGTATCCTCACTCGGCAAGCAGCGGTGCGTGCCAAATGCAACGAGGAGAAGGTGATGATAGGGACAAGTAAGATTTCCTTGACCCGCATGTTGCAGTTGTGAGTTTGTGTTTGCAGGCTTTGTCGAAGGGGCGAGGTGGCGGCCGCGGCAGAGGTCGCGGGAGAGGCCGTGGGCGTTCTGCAGTGGACACCACCCCAAGCGCAGAGCCTTCGAATCAAGAGCCCAAGATTTCGAGAAAAAGGGGCCCTGTACCTGCAGTCGAAGAGTTGGAGGAGAAGCCTAAGAAAACGAGGGCTCCTAGGGCCCCACGGGCGGCTGAACTGAGCCCAGTGGACGTGTTGGGTGAGCTTCGGGAGCTTAAGCTCCCAAGCCTGGATCTCCCTGATGGCCAGCACTATGTCCCCAAGACTTTTGGTAGCAACTTTAGTTCCAAGTGCAAGATTTGAAGAAATGAATTTCATGATGGTGGAGCGCAAAATATATAAGGAGCTTCACATTGCCAACTGCCGAGAACCGCCGAAGCAGCATCGGTGTCATCTTGACAACGAGGAGCTTTTATGTGATGAAAGCTATGATCCCTATGGACTGGGCCTTCAAAGGCTTCAAGGCCTGTTGCGCTTCAGGCTTTTACTTGCCTACCTTGTTCAGATTTCATGATTTCTTGCTTTGACAGGCGGACCGCAAAGGAGGCTGCACTATCAATTGGAAGGTACATGGCGCAGAGCTTGCGAATCTCATCCTGCACTTAACCTGGTGGGGAAAGTTCCCAGTTGACATTCGTCTGATCTGTGAAGCACTTAAGGTGGGAAGCGGCACGTGTGTTTGCCGGATGGACGCAGGACATATGAGTCCTATGATCCCCGATTCTGGGTCAATCTGAGCATTTAAAATGCTTTAGAGTTCAGGTGCACTGCTGGGAGCACTGAATATTTGCATAGGTGGCATGACCCACCGCCCTGGTTCAAGGGAAATTCCGGGCCATAGCCCCATCACGAGTGTAGCTTTCAAAACCGCATGCCCCAAGTGTAGCTTTCAACATGTGATGGGTGGTCTGTGCTGGGCCTGTTGAATTGCGTCCTTCAGCAGCGAGGGAAACAATGATTCGAAATTCTGCTGTAAAGCATTCAGCTGCAACATTTAACACAACTAGTTATATCCCCCGCTTCTCGGAGGTACTGATGATGCTTTGAGTGACGCTACTTCATCATCCGCACTTTCTTCCTCTTCGCGACCAATGCAATTCCGAGGTGCATCCACCCTGCGGTGCTCTTGCAGCTCTGCGTGTGCCGACATTCTAGTGTATACCTTTGCCCTTTAAAAGGTCCAAGTACTCAAAACAATTACATAACTAGAGAATATATTATCCTAGCTATTATTATAGAGCACGGGTTTTCTGCAATTTTTGAGTACTTGGATTCATATCCTAAACCCTAATTCCACATGGTACAGACCCTAAGCTCTAAATAATGGGAGCATGTATTTCAGCATGCACGAATCCTTTGGCCCCATATACAATGCGCAAATCGCAACTCCCAAGATGTACTCCGCAGGGTTGCCAGTCTGGCCAGTGTTCGCAGAGCTACAAACATAGCCCACTACCGATACAACTCATTGACACGGGGACCCCTAAATTTAGTGCTGTATACGATCGAAGGAGAAAATAAATTTGTCATAATAGATGACCATTATCCTTATACCTCGAACATTCCTGGGAGGGAGCTCCACCGATAGCAAGGATCATGGTGCTAATCTGCTAGCTAGGAGGGCAAGGGTTGAGGGCGCAGCAATGGACCGTCTGGAGCAGCAATCACGAAGTTTGCTTGGGCTGACTCGACTACAAGTCTTGGTCTTATTGGCCTTTGGAGTGCCACCGATAGTGTTCCTTCGACAGCATTAATTTTGTGGCCCGCTGTCTCGTGTGTGTACGACTAGCATCTATTCCTCCAATTAACATACCTGGACCCAAAAAAATTCTAAGCTCTGAACCCCTTGCCCCGCTATTTGAATTCGGTGGCTAGATAACGCGCTCTCCCAGAAACGAATCACGAATCAGGATCCACTTGGCCGATTTCATTTCGGCCACGACACCTTCCGAAATTGGGTGGCGAGATTCTGTGACGCAAGGGCTAGGCATAATATTTCTGATTCATCATGATTGGGGTCAAGTTTAATCCTGTATACGTAGTATGTTCATTGCAGATTGTAAACCATCCGGCACGTGGGGGAGCTTTTTTGTTATAAATTGTTATTATAAGGTCTACCTGCAAGTGGCCTGTAATAGGTGAGTCCAGGTCACAAGGCGGGGTCGAGGATCTCGGGCGTGGAGAGGGTTTGGGTTCAGGGTTTGGGGCTTAGGGTCGAGAATCTCGGGCGTGCGGTTAAGAGATACATCGTTAGATAGGGCAGTCTACTCCAAATATGCTCAATCAACCGTATTTGCAGCATGTTAGCACTACATGTTGTCAAGTTTGGGTGTCGCTATCTGAGGATCTTGATTGTGTCGAGCTTTTCAGTGGAGTGGCTTCTGTTTGCCGTGGATTCAGTGCCTTGACCATGATCATGCTCAATTGTTGACGATGTTCACCCTGATCATGAAAGCTCGGAACTTCAAATTGCCATCTAAGGGAAGCAAAATTGCAAAGCGCAGCCTGGCTCATACTCTGGCTTCAGGTCTCTAAACAGCTCAACCTCAGAACCCAGCGTTGGATACCCTGCAGGCAGGCCTTCGACAACATTATCGACCCTGTCTTCCAGAACCTGGACAGTGAACTGGGATTTGTAAAAGCTTTCAGCTTGGTACTCAGGCTGGCCCAGTCTGGGCTTCTGTTTGGGGGCTTGCCGTGCTCATCCTTTATCTTTTTGTCCAAAGCTACTCATCAACGGTCTGGGGCGTGTCCCTATGGACATGAAGGGCGGACCTTTGTGGAGCTTGGAAATGTTCTCACATCCCGGTTTTGCATACTTGCAATCTTAGCGATTTCGCGGAGGGTTCTGTGGCTGGTAGAGCAGCCGTCCCAGAGCATCCTATGCCAGCACCCAGCTATCAAGATTATCCTCTCCCAGATCATGAAGCCTCGAATGGTCAAATGGTGCCTGGGCTAAACATATGGTTCATACGGAAAGTCCGGATCCTGCATGACTTGGTGATTGGTATACGAATTATTAATAAGTATTATCAAAAGTTTAGGGTATGCTCGGTCATGCAGGATCTAGACTTTCAGTGAATGCATGGTGGATTAGGCGCTATGATCCTCTAAAGTGCTACTGTCATACTTCGATCAAGGTGGATGGCTTGTTACGGGCATTGGACAGCGAAACCGCAACAAGGTTTGGGCAATTGGCGGCGCCCCAAGTCGTCTAGATCTCTACAATGCAATTGCAATGTGTGTATGTGTGTTGCGTACACGAAACTTTCTTTGTTGCGGATGCTCCCGCTGAGTCCATGGATCAGCAAATTGCAGCTGAAGATCACATATGCTGATCGTGAGAGAATTGCTCGGCTCCGGGAGATGAACCCCAAGGAAGTTGTTAAGAAGGGCAAGACAAAGGATGGGCGTGCATGTGTGTCATTGGGCTGCAAAGTCTAGCAATTTAAGCTGTAGTTCCTGACAAGGGTGTTGTAGCTCAAATTTGTACGCTTGTAAGGTCAGGCGGAAGAGACTTAGCCTCAACAGGGGCCTATCCTGTGGCATTCGGTGAGCGCGTGGCAAGGCTACATATCTCCTGGCTGGACTCCTGACTCATATTAATTAGACAACCTGATCATGATGGATGGGACATCATTCTAGCTAATTGGAATTCGAACTCAGGAAACTGGTGACCGGAATGATATCCCTGATCCGCTGGCCATTGTCATGGAAGGATACAAGGACCTGTGGCCCCCAACCCAAAACCCTAAAGCCTATACCCTAAACTTCTCCATGGTTCATGCTGTGAAGTTTTATTCTGGGCAGGAATCGGGCCCTTATGGCTACAAGTACCCGAGGATTGATACGCTTCTGGGGTGCCAAGGGTCTTGCGGTTTGCGTGAGGACTTAAAAGCAAGATAGCGAACCCAAAAGCAAATCAACATTCCGGCAGATAGTCAAACTGTAATGATGGGCCGCAAATTATCAAATCCATCCCTGTCAACTTATAAATGACGACTGTAGTCCTATAATGATAAAGGCGCCGGCTGGTTATAGGAAACCATGTTATAATGCATATATGATATTAGTGGGGCACTGGGAGTTTCGACTATAGCTATAACAGGATCCTGGGAGTGGTTCTGGGGGAAGTCTTAGAACGGATACTGTTGTAGTTGGCCCAATATACAGGCATGCAGTGAACCACTTGCACTACAAATGTAGCTGCTATTCTGTGTAGTGTCTAGTGTCTAGTGGAGGTCATCCCCCTATAGCTATGGACCATCCCACTTTCTCCGCACTTGTTTTATGTCCCTGAAGAACCTCGCCCTTTTACAACCAAATTAAGAATTCTGAAGTTGTCAGTCTAGTCTTTCAGAATTCAGCTAGCAGGACCCCGCTGACTGCTGGGTGCACTGCCGATTTGAGGGTCTGGTAAAGCTCCTGAAGGAGGCAGCCAGAACGAGGCGCTACATTCCAGATCCCAGAATCCCGTTTGAGACTACCTCGCAGCCTGCACTTTTCGCTCAGTTGCAGGCAGAATACCTAGATTCTAGATGAGGAACTAGGTAGCTCGGGTTCAGGGTCCTATTTCCCAATATAGCATAAGTAACTTTCCCGGGTTTCCTGCTTGCAACAATGGAAAAATTAAAAGCCGCAGGAGTTGTATCTGTATGTTACGATCTGCACACCTGTGGTGAAATTCAGCAAGCTGGTCTGCCAGCTCCGAATGAACAGATATAGCAGCTGCTGCTATTTCCGAGGGCCTACAAACAACCACGTCTAGATGTTGCAATTGGAATTCCTCTGTAGCCATTAGCTGATTTTAGGGGCCCTTTGAGGATTCCACTAACGTACGAGTCTCATGGTCAGAAGAATAGGACATCCCAAGTTTGACAGAATTCATATTCATGTGGACCATCCCTGTTGTAATTCAACAAGAATTTGAAGTCTCTAGTAAACCATCCCAATATACTTAAACCGCTAAACCCCATTCCCTAAACCTCAAACATCTAAAGTTCTTTGTGGGATTGATATGTAGCGAGGGGCCCTCTAGAATGTTGTCTGCTGGCAGCCTATCCTCCAAGCTAACCCTACAGCCCTGATCCGGATCGAGGGGGCGCTGCAAGAACTATTCGAAGCCATAGCCATATTTATGCATAGTATAATTATGATCATGATCATTCTTTAGGGGTTGGCGCCGCCCTGATCTGGATTGAGGGGACTCTGCAAATAGAATAGCCATAGGCATACATTTATAGTCTTTGAGGGGTTGGTGCCAGTGGGCTTGCAATGAATGCTGGCACAAGCTCTCCTTGGCTGCTAGCAGATGCAGCCACTTGCCTCTTGCAGATCAAGACAAAAGTCTTGGGAGTCTGTTTGTTTCAGGTAAATCCGCAAAATCTAGTTTTCTATGCGCATATAGGTTTTCTGTGCGCAAGTCGAGCATATCTACTGGGGCTGACTACTTGGGCTTTTGCTGGATTCTTGTGGATTGCCTGAGATCTAGAGAATGTGTCCAGTTGCAAGCGAAAGTAAGATCTGACACGGCTTAGGGTTTAGGGTTTTTTGGGGTTTAGGGTTTAGGGCTTGTGTTATTGGTCAGGGTTATAGGATTTATACAGGATTTCGGGTCTGGGGTTTCTCAAGCGGTTTTGCTTAAGCACCTGCCTTGGGGGTTATTATAGGTGACAGCTAGGGACCCCAAATTTGGCCTTGAGAGACCCCCCAAAATTAGGATTTCGGAGCTCCTGACAGCTAGGAACCCCAAATTTAGCCTCGAGAGGGCCCCAAAATCAGGATTTCGGAGCTCCTCGGCAGCCTGGCCACCGTTAAATTCCGTTAAATTTGGCCTGCTGCCGTGGTTCAGAACTCCAGGGCTGGTCTTCGGAAGAGCAGAGCGTTAGATTACCGTTAAATTCCGTTAGATTTGCTGGCTGCCTGGGACAGGGGTAGGCACTAGGCCTGGGAAAGCCTAATGGGGAAAGCTCCTCGTGCCAAGGCCGTTTCTTGGTATTATTCAGTCTAGCCAACCAATTGTGCTGTGTTTGAGGGTAAATACAAGAAGTTTTTCGGTATGCTTCCAGCATGTCATACATATCTAAGGCTCCTTCCAAGCCGCAGATTGGATTTGATCCTCAGTCAGAGCTGAGAGGGGCCTTCGCTGCAATGAAGGGTTGGGGGCTCAGGGGGAATTGAAGGATTACTGTGCTCATTTACCCATATCTGTGAGTAATATTCAGGCAAACCTTGTCAGCATTCCGAAGCAGCTCTTGCTGACATCCCTTCAAGCCAGCCTCAGCCCAAAGCTGCGGTGCAATCCCCGCCTGTCAGAAGCCCCGCACCAAAGAAGCCAAAGGTTAAGGTGCCAACCCCTGTGGAACCCCAGTCCACTGGTGGCACCCCTATGTCACTGGCTTCTGGGACTAGCCAGAAACCATTGAAGCCTGAGTCTGGCCCAACTGCTAAAGTTGACCCTGCCGAAGCGGAAACCCAACTCGAGCCCAAGAGCCTTGACTTGGATTTCAACGTGGCAGCGCAGGCTGGCCACACCTACATATCATCTAATGGCCCCAAGCCCTAATGCCTAAGCCCAAAACCGGAATCCTTGATGCTTAGACAGTGAACTCGTAGCCCAAAAACCTAATCCCTAAAGCCTAGACCCTAATCCTTGTAGCTACACACCAACTTCCCCTTTAAGCTTGGAGAAACAACTGATAGGCCTCTCTGGATGGCACTGATGGGACCGATGGTGGCGCCTAGCCGCAAGAAGGTTTGTGATTCTCCAATTACAATTATGGGTTTGTAGGGCTTAAAGGGCTTAGGGGTTAATCTTCACGGCGCAGGGTTGAAGTTTAGGGCTCAAGGTGTATAGGCTTTAGGATTTGGGGACAGCTTAGGCTTCCGTACCTACGTTTAATAACTGGACCTGCTAGATAAGGTGCTTGCAAGCTTCGATTGAGCGCCCTTCCGGGTGGATTGCAAGCCATGTATCGTGGTGTTGGGATCACTACTGCGGAAGTTGTTGTCCCGATGGATATCCAAAAGACATGGCGGAATTATGAGAAGCTTTCTGAGGAAAGAAATGGGGTTCAGGGGGAGATTGAAAAGCTCGTGGCCCAGAAAGCTGCGGTGCTTCAGCGATTCAGGGAAAAGGTTCGGGCTACGATTCCTAGCCAAGTAAAAGCGCAACAGGCCATGGACAAGGCTGCTGCAAGGTGCGAGACTTGGTTGGGTGGCAAGATGCAAAACCTTCTTGACAAAAAGGAAAGCTTGGACAAGCACATTAAAGGATTCCATGACCTGCTGCAGATTCGTGTCAACGACCAGGCTAGAGTGCAGCTGGCCTTCGAAGGCAGCCCTTACAAGGATGCTGGCGAAGTGCTAAGGCAACCATCCCTTGAGCAGGCTCTTGAGGCCTGCGTCCTGGATGACCTCATTGATCAGGATACGCAAGGCCCAGACCTGGCGGCGATTCCAGGTCCCGGTGCCGAGGGAGAGAAGATCGTTGTTTGGCCTAATTAAGTACTAGTGTATTTTTAGGGGTATGTGGGATATGTGGCTGGGGGTTTTGATCGTATCCAGGGCGTGTCTCCCTAAACCCTATAAACCCTAAGCCTATATAGCTTATGTCTAGACCTATAGCTATTATATAAAGTTCTTTAGGTTTTTCAACTATAGCTAGGTTGAGACACCGATCTGCAGTGTGGGTGAGAACCTACCGAGCCCAGAAAAGTTGGAGAAGCTTGACCATGAGGAGGCTCCAGCCACCATGGAGATTCCCAGCGCCCAAAAGCCTGATGCCCCACAGCAAACTGATGAGGAGAAGCCTGCAGAGATCCCAAGCATTCCAGCGAAACCCCATGAGGCCCCAGCCGTGGATGAGACCCCACTTGCAAAGCCAGAAATCACTAATTCCGGTGATGCCCCGCAGCATGGGGAGAAGCCAGCAGAGATCCAAAGCA